AACCGTATGAAGAGTCTCATGCGGAGCTATGTCTACAGGCCGGCGATGGACAAGGACATAATGGAAATGATTAACACATGCAGAGGATGCGCCTTGGCGGTCAAAGCTCCACCTACCACTTTCAAACCCTGGCCAAAAACGGACCAACCTTGGTCACGTATACATATTGACTTTTCTGGGCCGATTGACGATTATTATTACTTAATCGTTTTTGAGAGTTACTCCAAGTGGCCGGAGGTTTTAATATGCAAGACGCCGACAACGGCTGTAACAATCAGTTTCCTACAGGAGCTGTTAACGAGATTTGGAGTAGTGGATTGCGTTGTCAGCGACAATAGTACACAGTTTACGTCAGCAGAATTTAAGAATTTTTGAGACATCTTCCAAGTCAAGCACACAACTACGCCTCAATACCACACTAGATCAAATGGGCAGGCAGAGAGGTTCGTAGACACGCTGAAAAGAGCATTTAAAAATAAAGCTCAAGGAACTCCTACCGACATAGCATTACAGCAGTTTCTGCAAGTTTATCACATTACGCTGAACCCGAATACACTGTCAACTGGCTCACCCACAGAAATCATGTTTGCCAGAGATGCGAGATCCGTTTTTGACAAATTAATTCCCAAACAGTCAAAAATTTGTAAGACCGAAAAAGGACCAAAAAAACGATTTCTTCCAGGTTAGAAATTTTTTTAAAAAGTTTTCAGAAGAATATGCCGTATTGGGAGGAGGGCACGATCACTAGCAGGATTGGCGAGATGGTGAATATAATACAAGGACCAAGACATACCCACAAAAGACATATTAATCAAATTTAAAAAAAAAAAACAGCATGAAATAGATTCTAACAGCACACAGGATGAAGTGGAAGAACCCATCGAGATCATTTACGACACATTTGACCCCCCCCCGCAACGTACGCCTGAACAACGAAGGTTGGTGAGAAAGAGGAAATTTACCGAGACTTTAACAATCAACCCCCAAAAAGAAAAGACATTAAATTCCTGGAAATTATAGACCCTTTTACCGAGGTAAAAGTCTTGGGAAGGGGATATTGTGGGGACCTACCTACAAATGGACTCTTACACACCTACCAAGTCTGAGTAAAGGGGGTCACCAAGTGAGGGTCACCGAGTAGTAGACACCGAGTGAGGGAATGAGTGAGTCAGGACACCAGTGAGAGAAAGTACTTTCCATTCCACATTTACCTTTGAACTACGTTTCCAAGAATATACTATTTAACCTTATCTCCGAGTCCGTGTTATGTTTCTATGGTTCCATCCCATAACAATAGTGCTCATAAGCTCCTACGCAACCTTGTGGTTGATTCGTCTTTTTCCACTCTACAACCACTTTTCTACAGGTTAAATGTCCCCAGCTCCTCGATATTCTATGGCTATTTTCAAGCCATATGGCAACTACTCCGACGTGCATTTTTCCCTGGTGCCTGTCAACATGAATTTAAACCTTCTTCTAGATTGTCATCTAGATCCCACATTTTACTGTTGAAATAACTAAATGCAACAGGCACTTCTACTCCAACAATTTACTTTCTCGCACTTCCCACCTGTGGAACTTTTTTTCCATTTCCTTGCTTACCTGATAACAAAAATCTTCAAACATTTAAATGCAATAGCCTTGTTCTATTATCGTGAACCCCGTTCATCTTTTGTCTTTTCTTCAATCCTCCCTAAATTCAGTCTTTTCTCTCACTATCACTCCCTATACCCCCCTGCGTATTAATAGTATTTCTGCATTGCTTGGGGTTGAAATAAATGAAAGATGAAATCAATGGAAAATATGAAAACTTAAGGAATCAGCGCATATGCTAAGCCACAAAAAGTCGGCCAGACATAGAAATGAATACAATCTGAGAACCACTAATAATGAGTGCTAGAGAAATGCAGTAATAACAACACAAATTGTAATATAAGCTTTGGTAAAAATGGTTACAGAAACATTAAGTTTTAAAGTTCCAAGAATTAAAAAATAAATGTCCTCAAGGCCCAGTGGATGAAAGCGTTAGTTGGGTCCAGTGACTTGACCAAGAGAGTTATGAGCTCGATACCTAGCTATTGCAGTGGTGAACAAAAACCTGTTGATTTAAAGGAAGATAACCGATTCATCGTGGAACTAGAACAATCTACCCTAGTGGATGAAATAAAGGGTTTGGTTCAAAATCGGTCCTGAGTTGACATTTCGGAGTTACTCACTGTCCCACCCCGTGCCTATTCTATAATTATTTTTAATGCTTGGATTAGCTTTACTATTTGGTAAATCGACTTCACGACTCTAAGCACAGTACTAGATTGGCAGCCAGGTCTCATCATTTTACAGTTGAAATGGCTAGAGTTAACCGTATCTTCTATGCTAAAGTTTTCCTCTCGCCTCTGAAACACTCTTCCGGCCTTTTGCTTTCTAAGCACCTTTGATCATCAAAAACTTCAATGCAATATCAATCGTCATCTACTGTTTTGTCAAATCCTATTCTTTTGTTGTCCATTACCCATAAAAATGTTTTTTTTTTTTTTCGTATTGCGTCATAACGGCTTTATTAACTTTCCTCGGGTTGAAATGATAAAACGAAATATTTTCTAACATCAGCACAGCAAAAAATGTACAATTGATCGGGATATAGATTATTTTGAGAAAGATATTTATGTAGATAAATAATTTATTCTACAAATTTATATGCATTATTATCAGAAAGGTATCATTATTTTATGCAAAAATCATTCCTTCTTTGTCCATTTCTACATATTTTATTACAATAAACGAAGTCAGTCAATTCGATGTCATACGTGATACAAGCTTGGGTGATCATGTCTCTTTCAAATCATGACTGACTAAGCAGAAGATTTTCCTGCAGTAGGTTGCCGTTTATTTCTGCGGTAGACTGGTCGACAACCAAGGCTATAGAACTCAGTTATTTAGCCCATAATTAGAGGAAAATTGATAGATTCATGACTTTTCTCTGGGTGTTTGCTCGTAAGTGAATGCAGATAACTTGACTAGAATTCGAACTTTGCTTTCAATAAACTAATTTTCTAAATTGTAAGCATATATTTTCAAAAATCATTTAGCACTAATCTCTTTCTGATTAAAGATTAGTAGACAGATAAGTAAAGTTAAATTAAACTTTCCTTAAGGCCTATTCACTATTACGATATGAATTCAAAATTTCGATGTGAACCTAAAAAAATGTACATGGCCCAAGAGGCACTCGAGCTAGAGGATTACAGGAGATTTTAAAAGATTTCTATTCTCTCTGTTTAATGGTTTCTAGAAGAAACTTAATTTAAAAATCAGTCATTGTTCAATCGCAAATTCAGTTCTTTTAATTTTGAATTTCAAAGAAACGTCCTTCATTTTGCTAATTCTCATCTCGTGGGCTTTCCTTGTTTCGTTGCTTTTGTTTAGGACAAACTCTCCATTTTTCTCTCTTTGAGGGAAAGTCTCAGATTTAACATATTTTATCAATTTTTCTTTCATTTATTTTCATGAATTTGCTTGTTTCACTGCTAAAATGTGTTGACTTCGTTGCTTTAATAATTCGGTTATCAATCTGAAATTTCGATTTTAATTGCAACGTGCTCCAAAGTCTTAGATGAAAACAAAGGCTTCTAGACCGTTTTAGAAGTTTACAAGATAATACCATGATTTTATTATGGAATGTTTTGGACGATTACAAACGAATATTATCAATGTAATATTTAGATTTTAGAAATTTGGAAACAAATATAATAAATTCCTTTTATGTGAGCGCGTAGCCGAGTGGTTAGAAAGTTCGCTTTCTGACCATGAAACACGTGTTCGAATCTCATCATGGTTTATTAATACGAAAGATTATTTCTTGATGTTATAGGTGATCCTAGCGTGGAGCCATATCACGAATTGAGCTGAGCCTTGTGAGTGAAATTGGGTAGACAGAATTAATGACAGGCTCGGTAGAGTAATGGTTACGGAAAGCGGAAAGTTCGAATTACATTCACTTCCTTACTAATACACTTTGGAGAGGTAGGAATCCAATTTTTCTCACCGACACCACTAGAGATAAATAATAGTTTGGGTCATTTAGCCTTGGTTGGCAACCGGTCTGCGAGAAGGAAAACTCTGAATTCAAATTGGATGTGGCCCTTGAGAAGCACATACTATGCAATTAAGAAAAGGATTATTCGCATAAAGTCAATGACCTCTACAATTGTCGATTCCCTTTTTTTAAAAAAATTACACCAAATTATTTCTCAGATTATTTATTAGTATCTTACAATAAGTACACTTTTAAATATTTTTCATTAAGTCCAGGGTATGACGATAAACTACACCCGGTAGCAACGCCTCTGATCGGGAGATTGGAAGTTTTGAGGAGGCGGAAACCATTTCTTAGTTGCTGTTGTTTCCCCGTCCACCCTGAACAGGGGCGGTACACCAGTTAGGGTCCCAGCTTTGAGCAAATAGTGACCCCCAAAAGCGAAAACACGATGAAAATATAGAATCCGTTTTCATAGTAAAAATAACAGCAATATATATTTATATAAAAAAGACAGATAATTCATAACCAGCAATGCATTTTATTCGTAGTTCAAAATATACTTAAAGCCAAACAATCGTGTTCAAATTATTTATATTTCAGCATGAAATAACCCATAGATGTGTTGATATGCCGCGAAACAAAATCAACCAACCAACATAAAGTTTTATGATGTTAATCCATATAAGATTAAAAAAAATATCTTAAATCAGACTGCATCCCAAAATAACTTTAAAAAAACAACATAAAACACAGATACCTATGTCTCTATAAATCCTGTCCACACAAACTTGTTATATACAGAAAATCTGGGCATCATCTACCATGTATTCAATTGTGAAAGCAGAATAACCATAAGCAAGTGATATGTCGTTAAACAAATCGACTAACAAATATTTTTACTTGTTTAGAGATGCTTGCTGTATAAGAAAAATAACGAGACGACCCGCTGAACTTAAGTATATCGCTAAGCGGAGGAAAAGCAACCAACCGGGATTCCCTTAGTAACGGCGAGTGAACCGGGAGAAGCCCAACGCCGAATCCCGTCGCAAGCAAAAGGCTTCGGGACGTGTGGCGCATGGGTCGAAGGCAGCCGCTCGTTTTCGTCTCGCGTAGTTCGGAGTTCCCTCGATCGGGGCCGCCCGCGGCGGGTGCCAGGCCCATTCGCTACGGACGGCAGGCGACGGCCTTCGATCCGAGAGTCGGGTTGCTTGGGAACGCAGCCCAAATCGGGTGCTAAGCTACATCCAAGGCTAATTACCGGGACGAGTCCGATAGTCGACAAGTACCGTGAGGGAAAGTTGAAAAGAACTTTGGAGAGAGAGTTCAAGAGAACGTGAAACAGCCCAGCATTCTTTTCCCTATAAAATATCTTTAAATCCTACCCTGCGTCCTATAAATGCAAAGACGGTGATTGAATTTATAATTATAGAGCGTGGGGGGTGAGCGTCAGCTTTCCACTTACATCTAATTCTAAGCCCTTGAAAGTAAAACATGTCTAGTGATTCAAAATTAAATTAACAACGTTTTAAGAGAAGCTATTTATGCAGTTGAAACACTGAGATATTGACAGGAAACGAAATTCATGCGACAGTCGTACCTTTTTGCGTAACACCTTTCTTTCTTCCTTGCTTCTTAAACAACCTGTCTCGAAACAGCGTCCATTATGGTAAACACTCCTTTGTGAGTATAATCTGGGTATTTTCTACTTGATTTTAACGGTGACAGATATTGCTGAGCAAATACAACGGTTCGCCAACAGCTGAAACATACATTTTTGTTTATCCTCACTGACAATGACGCATAATATGCGATTCGAGATCTTCACAATATAGTATTGCAAGCTCAGCGGCCAGTTGACTAACAGCGGTTCTCTTTCATCAGTTGTCATGATTAATCAGGTTTTCATACTGAAATATGCAATTTCATAGGCAGAATTGGGAAAAGTGGTGTCGGTTGTGGGGGTCTATGAAGTACAACAAAAACAATTTTGTTTCCGAATTCTTCCTTCAAATTTTGATTAAGGGTGTTCAGTGAATCTCAGATATAAGCAGCGAAGTGAGATACATTAATTTTTATACCTTAGAAAGTATAAAAATAATGGGAAGCAAGATAATTTTTTAGATAAAAATAATGCGTGTTAACTTTATGCTGAGCAGGCCATAGTTACAATTTCTAGGTGTGAGCGGATTATCTGGGGGGTGGGGGATGAACAGCCTGAACAAGGACAACACGCTCAAATACTCCATTTGGCTCAACCCGTTTTCAGGCATTTTCTGCAGGCTGGAATCGCCCCCCAGACAGATAACATGAAGAAGCCACCTTCGTAACAAATCAACCATGCTGAAACTCGAATCCGAGTCTCATGGTAAGAAAGCGAACTTTCTAACAACTCCGCCAAGTGCGCATATATATATATATATATATATATATATATATATATATATATATATAATAATAAAAAATATTAGAAAATTAAAATCTTCAGACACACTGGGTTGTAGATTAATATTCTTTCATTTTTTTTTTATTGTTATTTCATTTAGATTCCTCGGCTAGTTTCGACCAAAATGGCCATCATCGGGAGGAGAAATATTTCTGCTCCAGAAATGAATGTCTTTTGTTGGAGAAAATGAACTTTTGTCTGTAGTTTTCATTTGTTTCTTTCATTTTTTTATCTTTTTAACATGAATCTTTTAACATTCCTTGTGTTGATCAAACAGTCTCTTTTAAGTTGTTATTTGAGATAAGAGCTGGATGGATCCATACTGCACTGAATTCCCCTGGTCATTTTGACAGTTTTATTGGTTCCGGGAGAGGGGATGTGTCTCTCTTAATTGTTTGTGTGTGTGTTATTTGGTTCTTAGGGAGTGAGTGAGTAATGTGGCACCATTTAACGAGGCAGAAAAGGAAAAGAAAGAAAAGAAGGCAGAAAGAAAGGCGAGACGAATCGTGGGTGATAAGCAGAACACACACACGGCTAAGAGACAATTGATATTTTGATAAGTAACAAATGGCGAAAAGGTGTCATTATAATGACAGGGAAATTCTGAGTAAAAAGAAGGGGAAAGAAAGAAAGAATCAGATATGTTTTGGCGTCGGCTGTGTTATCTAAGGATATGAAAACAAACTATTGGTACGAGAAGGCATCAACTACAGACCGACTGGCCAAAGAAAAATTCCAATGAAAATGTTATTTCGATAAGTGACGAAAAACAGGCAACTAAAAGGACTTTGGACAGATAGGAAAAATTAATTTTATCAAAGCCACACGCACGACTGACCGAATTCTTTCGACAGAACATTCTTGGCCTGCGATAATAAAATTATGTTATCAGAAATATGTACCGAAGGGGAATGAATGGGAATTTAGAAATGTCTTTTCGGGGCGACGTTGGCCGTGTTAAGAAGACCACCCATTCTGATAATTGGCGATAAAATACCTGAGGAAAACCACGTGTAGAACAAGAGTAATGACCGCCATTGTTCATATTGTCCCGTTTGCGGCTAGAGAAATGATAACGGCGATTAAGAGGAAGAAAAGGAAAGGAAGGGATAATTTTTTTTAGTTAAGCAAGATATTTTTTTTCTTCCTGAAACAAAGCCGCGGATTCGTCCACGCCCGACTAAGACATCATTGGTCGAGTGGTGATCACGTGACGCACGAAGGAGGCTGTCGCCGCTTCATCCAGAGTGTAGGCATGAGAAGCTGCTACGAAGAAGTGGGGAGGGCAGTTCACGCCCTCTGAAGTATGGTGAGAAGGAGGGGGTAAGCAAAGGCTCCCAAAAATGGAAAAAAAAGTAGAAATTCCTAACCAGAGAGGTTGATATGTATTTAGAATTATCGAGGAAACCCCGACGCCGACAGATCCACCCCGGTTTTGGTCGGCGTCCATATAAGCGAAGCCCCAACGAGCAGAAATCAGTTGAGTTCCAGAGTTCCAGGAATTCAGTTCCTAGAGTCAGTCTCCAGTTGAAGCCGCCTCGCAGATAGCTGACCAAGATTCACGCAAATTCTGGACTCCTCCTCAACCCAAGAACAATTATTTTGAAGAGCGACTTAGATCCAGACCACCAAAATAAGTTTTCTTCAACTTTCGTCCAAAGACACACCGAAAAACCAATTTATTAGAAAGCAAATAACTTGAAGCGTTAAAACTCGCCTAACGGAAAACGACGTGTCACAATCCATAGAACGGGTCGGGAGATAGATGCAGTCCTATGTATCGAACAACTAGACATAAAGTTTGTTACATTTTTCTTTGATACTTTGAACTTTTGAGTTTTCATTTTCTTTTCTTTTATGCATATTTGTGTGGTATCACCCCCGTTGAACTCGGTTTGTATTACGGCCCCAACTACTGATTGATCTCGTCTGCCTAAGATCCATTCACAACGTGGGTAGGCAGACTGGAGATCTATGCAGTTACCTTGGTAACCAGGCGTTGGAAACGAGTTGGGAACGACGAGGCTGATATCAAATCTAACCAGATTCCCACCCGAATCTCCAAAAGGTTAGAACGACACATTTGGGTGCCGCGACCGATACCAAGCCAGTTGGTAGTCACAGGAGGAGACAACACGACTGACGCGACAGGCGGACGTCACGTTTGGAGCAGCGACACCCGAATGGAGCAGCGGGGAGCGAACAGCTGGCGCCGCGGCGAGGACGTCACAACTGGTGCCGTGGTAGACCAGGATAGAACGTCACAGTTGGCGCTGCGACCAGGGGGCGACGTCGCAGTAAGATATGTGTAAGCGTGTATATTGCTGTGGGTGTGTGTTATCATTTGGCTCATTAGGGAGTGAGTGAGTATGATGTGTGTAAGTGTGTATGTTCGTGTCGGTGTGTGTATAAGTGTGAGGCCTCAACACCTCCGTAATATGTCTGTCTTGTGTGGGTGAAAAATGTAGGTACGTCCTGTTTTGTAAGGTTATATATCAGTGTTTATTGCTATACGATTAGTAACGAAACTGAGGGCATGTTGCATGTTATGTAAGTATTGATTTAGAAATGTACTAGTTAAATTGTGTATAAGTGTTTATGAATACGAATAGACAAATAGATGAGTATGAGTGTATATGTGTGTGCATACAGTGGATGCGAATATGTGTATGGATGTAGGAACATATGTGTAAATTTAATTAATTTAATATATAGAAAATTGTGTATGTATGTACGTATAGGGATTTGTGTAAGATCTCAGATTTCTCCCTTTCTCCTTTCTGTTCCCTGACTCTCCTTTATTCTTTATTCCTTTCTCTTGTCCGGTGAATGAGAGGTCAATGCCACAACCATCGTATCTCCTAGGGACTTATACCTGCTCCCCCCTTAGTACTCTATGTAACTATCTTAAAACACATATTCCGCTAATCTTGTTTTTCATTACGTTTTTCGGTTGATTCTTGGGAGAATTTTTTTAATCCACTCATTGTTTTGAAACCGCAAGGTCTTAGGAAGCGAAACTGAATTTTATCCGTCACACGAAATATAAAATATTATCCATGACTTTCTGAAATCTACGATTTGTTAATTAATGATTAATTGCTCTGTTTATTAGATTGAGCTCTCTTGTATCTTCCCTGGAATTATCCATACGGGTTAACAATTAACTTTATCATTATATATATATATATATATATATATATATATATATATATATATATATATATGTGTGTGTGTGTGTGTGTGTGTGTGTGTGTGTGTGTGGTTAATGGTTAATGGTTACAGTTGAATCAGACCAGAAAGTAGCAATAAAATTAGTTTTGTTTGCTGCTATCTAATCTTTTCAATCTGAGGGTATCCTCAGGTGATTTCTTATCAAATGACTACCTAACGCCTATTCAGTTTTTTGAAGGAAACTAAAGAATGCTACATTATTATTTGAAAAAAGCAAACGGAGGACGTTGGGTGAACCTAAAGGAAGAAGAAGAATAAGAAGAAGAAGAAGAAGAAATTGATAAAAGCAGGTGTATTGTAAATGCATCGGTGGGGAGGGGTTAAATTCCTTTTTTGAGCCTCGTATGCACGTAAGAAAATAAAAAAAAACATCGCCTGAGGATACCGTATAGCTGAAACCAAACTAGCGGATTCAACTGACCTCCTGATTTTTAAAGTATATATATATATATATATATATATATATACATGTGTGTGTGTGTGTGTGTGTGTGTGTAAAGAACTTTTTGGAGAAAAACGTTCTGAGGGAAGAGTATGTGCACTCCTTAAAAAAAGAATGAAAATTATAACCATGCCGAGAGGTTCTTCGTGGCAGAGCGCTAAAGCACGTTGTATCAAACGCGGGATACCCCTAAAACGTGGGGACGCAGTTGCGAAAAGTTTTTTTAGTGAGATTTATTAAATCCACGGCGGCAGTTAGAAAAAGAACTTAATGAACATTGCTTAAAACAAAAATGGGCCGTCTATTTCAAATACAAGTGTATATAACGCTATTCTAAAGCTTGGAGTAATATATATATATATCATCAGGTAACACTTGCAACAAAGAAATGATAGAGAGGGGTAAATTTCATTTCTATCAAGCATTGAAATCTATATTTTACATAATTTTGTTAAAACAAAATTACAGCCTTTTCGATTCACTTCCCTCCCCCTCTCTCTTTGCTGTAACACTCATTTAGATATATCTGTATTACTTGTCTGTCTCCTCTCTCCTTTCCATTTTTCCTTTTCTTTTCTCCCCACTCCCCTCCCATTCCTATATATCATTTCCGTTAAGTTAACCACCTAAATAGGTCACGATTAGGTCACTCCTCCTACCCCAATATAAAACACGCTTAAGAGAAATATGAAATTTACCCCTCTCTATACTATACCTTGTCTCTTTGATCACCCTCCCTGTTAAATTACAAAAAATTACACTACCCATCAATTTCTAATCCCATTTTTCCTTTCATTTCGTTGTTGGAAGTGTCACCTGATGATCCGGTGTCCTTCAAAAAACATTTTGGTGAAATAAATTATTGTAATGGTACCTTAAAGTTGTCTGTTTTTTTCCATTATATATATATATATATATATATATATATATATATATATATAGAGAGAGAGAGAGAGAGAGAGAGAGATAGATAGATAGATAGATAGATAGATAGATAGATACACGGAGTGTAGCTTTCTTTTTCTTGAGAGCTACACTTGCTGAAACAGTGAAAACTAGACATACTAATCGAGCGATTATGTTCACAGTCACGTTATAGACGTAGAAACCCACTCATTATGCCTTGAACTTTAGGTAAAAGAAACGATCACTCAGTAAACATGAAATTCCAGAATTGAACAGCAGTTCACAAAGTTATATTTGGAAAAATGAAGGACTGAATACCTTTTTAAAGTGCTGACCAATTTTCAGAAACTGTATCAGATGCAGACAATTCTTCTACTCATATCGGCATTCATAACAATGTTATCTATTTTCCGAGACTTAGAATTTGGAAATGAACGGTTGAAAAACAGTCAGGATGGATTTGTGCCTGGCTAGCTCAATTAAAATAATCGAGAACGGCTCACAATCATAAATAGTGTCAATGAAACCAATCCTGAGGCGACGACGGAATCGTATCATATTTCTATTGGCAGGATATCGAATTTGGTTAAAGTCTTCCGGGGTTAGATGAACTAAATTTAGGAGCATGGTTTTGCTCGAAAATAAGTGGAGTGAATTGGCTTGTAGGTAAAATTGTAAGTAATGTTGAGGAAGTGGAGGAGGTGGGTAAAGAATAAGAAACGAAAAGGAAGAACAGTGAGAGACAAAGAGAAAAGATAAAAGAACGAAAGGAAAGAGAGAGAGAGAGAGAGAGAGAGAGAGAGAAGAGTGAAATGGAAACGCTCGGATGAAATAATTCAGAAGCGCGCGAAAATGCTTGAAATAAAATGGCTTCAATGGAGGTGGTGGTTGAAAATGTATAAGTGAGAGATGGAAAGGAACGGAAAGAAAGAGATATACGGCGAAGAGATAGGAAAGCATATGACATAGAGAATACAGAAAATGGGAAAGAAATAGGAAGGAAACAGAAAGATGGATCGGAAAACACACTTGCATGGAATAGAAATAAAAAGAAAGCACGCTATCATAAATTAAGTAAGGAAGGTTAACAAGAAAACTTAACGAGACAAAAGCAGCAAGTATTATATATTGGAAGATGGGTAATTGAAAGGAAACAGACGATACAGAAAGTCTAAATTTCTGTGGTAAGAATTCGGACTAAGGATCAAATTTTTGTTATTAATATCACAACATTTCAGCCGCCGTGTTTTCCCGTCATCTTTAGGTGTCTTTCGATCCGGATAATGTCCAACGATTTTGAACTTAACACTTTATTCAATTCTCGTGGGTAAATAGTTCTCATTCCGCTGTCCATGTACAACGATAACTCTTCTTGATTAACTGCTTTTTAATACTCCTCTGTTATATATATATATATATATATATATATATATATATATATACTTATCATATCATATCATATCATATCAGCACTACCCGAGAGTGGGATTGAACTCACAATTCTATAACACCGAATTCATTAATCCCTGCTTTAATCAGTTACGCTATTTCCACGACAGGACGATGCTGTAGTAACAACAAAGAAGGGTTAATTTTTCTTCTGTGTCGTGATCCTTCAAGACGTGTTCGATAGTGGTTCTCCACAGCTTTCTATCCTTTGCGGATCTTAGCAATATTTATTTTTTAACTATCTACCCCGTTTCTTATTCTGCTATCCAAACTTATCAGGTACTTTACTCGCTGTTTCTCTCTGTCTTAATTATGCCCTGAGAGTGTCTAATTTTCCAAGACTATCTTCCTCATGTCTCCTAGAATGTTCAACTGTTTCTTTCTGATCTTTCTTATGTTAGCCCGTCTATAAATAATGAAAATAACGAATTGGAAATGTCCAGGATTGAACACGGCATGTCAGAAGCTACAAAGGAATTGAAAGAGACGTGTACTAATTAAATTGATTTGCTTTTTACGGTTTATCGCCCTTTTGAATGTTTGGAAAGAGTTGGTAAAATTAATAAAAGTAATATACTAAAAGGACAAAAATTCAAGGAACTGAAATGGAATAAATATATGCGTGATGTAGAAGAAAAGGGGAAGTTTAATCGGACAGTAAAATCAATGAATGGGTCAATGGGATAGACACGGAATATTAATGCAGTCTAAACGAACAGCTGTTGAAAGAGAAGTTTCCCCTTCACAAATGGTGACGTGGCAGTTGAAGTCCGGAATAAGAGCAGAACTTGGAATGAAGACGAAGATGTCAGCTGAAGAAGCGTCATCGAAAATAGAATGATAATAATATCCTTATTTACATACGCGAAGAAGGTATGTTGAAAGAGCTGTAATCACAGACATCATCTTGCCACACACAGTACAAACCCTTTCTCAACGATTATGAAAATTGATCAGACAAATATTTATAGAACAAATAATCTACAAAAGTGAACATTTATAGGAAATAATAATAATAATAATAATAACAATAATAATAATAATAATAATAATAATAATAATAATAATAATTTCTCACGATTACAGCCCACACCTAACGAAGGGCTTTATCTATATAACATATGTTTGTATTTTTCTGTATTTTTTTTTTAATTAGTCACTGGAACATGCCATGATACCATTTCTAACCTTAGGTCTCTGAGCTGGACCCGAAAAGAATTGTGTACACGCCAGAAATCAAAAGAAATATAATGATAATAACAACACCCAGAACCGATTACAGAGACAGGACCCGTAAAAACTTTATGGGACTACGCACTACACAGAGACAAAACAATCAATGCTAATCGTCCAGTCATTTTTATTAGAGACCGAAAACTATAAAAAAAATCCCTTCTGATAAAACATCTCAGCAAAAGAATTTGATAAATTTCCAAGTTTTAAGGAACTTGAAATAGAAATTGCTAAAATGTAGCATTTAATTACGGCCACTATTCCAATAATAACATGAGCACTATGAATTATTTTAACTAGTACTGATGCGTACAGTAATATAATTAAAAATTCATCACTATTTGAGATACAAAACATTGTATCTGTCAATATTTCTGAGATGAGGTATTGTAACTATTTGCATTGTTCAGATTATTGTCCTCATTTTTGTCATATTAACAACGGTTCGGCTGATGTACGCGCCAGCCATCTTCAGGATCTGTCTATATTTCTGCGATGAGGTAGTGTAACTATTTGCATTGTTCGGATTATTGTCCTCATCTTTGTCATATTCACGACGGTTCGGTTGATGTATGTTCCGGTCTTCTTTCGGTGATATACATTGGAATGTCAAATCGAATTCTTTATTTCGTCTACAAGGGTAGACTCTTCTAGTTCCACGTACCATGCATTTTTCTAGATACATCAACTTCAGTTATTTCCCTTTAGTAACTCACCTTCAACACTATTTACATTATTCTGACTATTGTCCTCATCATTGTGGCCATATTTATTACAACGTTTCAGCCGTTGTACGCTCCGGTCTTCTTCAGGTAAATGGACTGTCGAACTGAAACTTTTAAACTGTTCTAGTTCCACGTGCAATGTTTAATAGATATCAGTTATCAGTTATCTGCCGTAAATACCCCTCTCCACCGGGTATTGAACTCACACTATTTGGGTCATGCCACTGGCTGTAACCAACGCCTTTATCTGTGCCATGTGCACTTCGGCACAGTGACAGGACCCAAAGAGTGTGATAACCAGTGATTGTATTTCGCTTCCTGTCAATTTTAACCCTAATTTTGATTAGATATGTTTGTTTTCATCACATTATTTCATTTCTGTACACGCAATTAGATCTTTAGACATTGCTGATTCTATATTCCCCAGTTATAACTTGTGTAGCGCATTGCATGTTCCACTGATATATCTCTATCTAACTAATTTTCTATTTCTTTCTTTGTATAATCTTACAAAAAAATTACGAGTGTTTTGCTATCAGATCGCAGTGTTTTCGTCCTGATTTTTGTGTAAATCTAAATTGACAGTGTGAGCTTAACTCAATGAAAATTTACCAGGAAGATCGGGCGTGCCATTGATAATGACAATGTGCTGGTGAAATGTCCAGTACGTTTCCCTTGACTTGACACCCTGTGGATCTACGTAAAAGGAAAAGTCTATATCCCCCTCTTCTTGCAAGTCTAGATAAACTTAAGCAGAAAATCACTAGAGAATGTTACGCAAGCCATGCAACAGCGTGTTTGGCAGGAGCTGAACTACTGACTGGACGTGTGTCGTGTCACAGATGGTGCGTATGTTGAACATTTGCGAAACTGTATGAAAATAATAACTTTGTATATCTTGTTCGATTTTTGATAAATGAGTCTTTTATTGTTTATGAAGCCTACATAATTTCATCTGACTGGAACATATAGTTACTCAGATGTTCCCATATCAGTATTCGAAGACAGGCTGTATAATAAATAATTAGACAGCTGGGATTCATTTAAACTTTTTTTTTTAATTCGACAAACAAAATCTGCTTGTTTAAACGTTATATTTTATTTTGATAATTTTCTAATAGTTTTTTGTGACCTGAAATAAAAACAGTCGATAAATTCTGCAAAGTTCATGTTTTGTTTTTGTTTAAGTGCTTTGAACTCTCCTTGTTATTACCAGGTAATAATTGATGTTGGTATATGAAAAATAAACGGTTCGTTCAATCCCGCCATATTTGGAACGTTACATTTAATATATAGAACGGTTTCGTAAAGATTGACATCAAGAGAAAATGAATATATGTAATAGAATATAATCTATTTGAATGTTTTATATCTATTTTAAATATTTCAAATACATATTAAAACTCTCTCGCCACAGGCGACCGAAGATTAATTAACTTTTACCACAGGCGACGATATCTTAAAATGACTGACAAGAGTTGCGAAATTATAGTCGAGGAAGAGAATTGAAAATAGGAAGACAGATCACTCAAGCGTCTGCAACGATTAGATACCTGTGGTTCACTTCCGGCTATGAAAGAGCGAACCGTTGAATCGACGTGAATGTTGATGTTAATTTAAGCAACCTATGATTACTCCTAAATCCTGCTCCTTTTAAGTCATACAGTATGAAAACATCCGTTTATAGCAGCCTTTGCCGGAAAAGATTATCTTTAGAGCACATCCTTGGCAAGATGCGAGTTCGTCTTCTGCAATAACAGATCGAAACAGAATTTCCGCTTTTAGAACATGTCGCTCTGGATTTAGACAACGAGAGAAGGGAGGCTGATGATTTATGAAAAGGAAACTTCTTATTGAACTCTGAGATGTCTGATTCCACGCGTGGAATCAAAGATTGTATATACCTTCAAAAATGCGTAAACCTTGTACGTAGACACGCATAATAATTGATATTTACTTAGAAAATATATATCCTTTAAGTAAATTAAAACAGGATACTTTTATTTTTTCGAAGTATTTTTTTTTCATTTTGGTCGATATAACGTTCCGACCAATACCCTCTGACCATCATCTGGATTCAATTGTTGCGGTTGATATGGAATTTATTATTTGGGACAGTGACTGAATATATAGAGTTATTTCTATATGTGTTACTGTCATCTAGTCTCTACAAGTTCAGATAATGAACCACGGCTTCAGTAGGATCGATTGCTTTGTTTTTTTAAGGCCTATCAACCCTTTGTGGATAATCTAAAGCGGAAAAATATTTTGGATGGTACGAATAATGTTTTTCATTTTTTTAAGGGAATATTATATTAACAATATTTTAAGATAATGATTTTTCCATAGCGTGGAGAGACAAAATGGAATCATACGGTTCATCGGTAATGAACAAGAATGACATCGTAGTGACAAATGATACAAAAATCTTATAATATATCAAACCTAAAACAACAGACATCAGATGCTGACCAGGAGGTACTTGAACGGAACTCTATATCAGAAAATATGAAAACAATAGTTTCTCTCTCTCTCTCTCTCTCTCTCTCTCTCTCTATAT